GAACTAAAACTGACCAGCTAATTGCTTGCCACAAAACTTTTAAGGTAAAAACGGGCATGTCTCTCAACGAGAACGTTCACTGCAACGTGTAACCGATCTATGTTCCTGTAACATGTTACCTGATGCGTGCTGGGGTTAGATAAATTACGCTCTAAAATTTGAGTATCATGCTTCTGAGCGTCACTCCTAAAATCATAGCATTGTGCTCGAAATTATGCTCATGCCCTAGCATTATGCTCAAAGATGCTGGGTGAATTTTGCGCAAAAAAAAGAAAAGACAAAATAATGGCTAACATATTATTAAATGTCCTTCTTTTAAATAACAACTGAACAACGCCTTTCAAAAACGAATGCTCTCATACGAAGCAACAAGAGCTGTATGTCAGGAGGCTCTTCAGTTTGGTTCATGACAAGTGAAAACTGCCTGGGGAGCCAGGCATAAAGTAAGGTAGCCAGGCCTTCAAACAGAAAACCAGGCATTCAACAAAGCCAAATAAGTGCATAAAGCAGCCACAAAGCCCACAATTGACATTTTTTTAAACACATCATTTTGATGTTTTTATTACCAGGATAATTTTATCAACTTTTAGGCTCCTAAACATGACTATTATGCCGACATTATGCTCGATGCTCGCACCATAGTATTATGCTCGAAATTATGCCGGCTAATTTATCTAACCCAAGTTCGCGCAGAACTTTCATCAATCAGTGACACGAGCCAGTGGGTCGTTATAGCACGAGTTGAATCTACTTTGGTACGCTAGGGCTTATAAGAGCCATGCTGGAAAAGCATACCTTTACTTCGACAAGTCCTCTGTATTCCAGAGTGTATCCCCCAAGAAATGTCAGCATATCTTTTGTATCCTTGCTGACATGAATTCTCTGGGCTGTAATCAAAAATCCACAATTTTAGAGGTTTATAAGAAAGTAAAAACGAAGCTACCTAGCTATCGGTTAATTCAAACAGTCAACCATTTTAAAAACTGATATTATAGCTTCACACAATCGGAAAAATGATATTGCAAAGTTTGTCCCAGGAAATGAAAACGGCTCAACATTTATTTCAGACGATTCCTTCAAAAGTAGGAAGATTTACAGCTTTGTGCTGTGCTTGAAGGTAAACATAAAGTTTTGACAGGGGCGCTTATGAGTTTTGCTTAAAATGTAATCACTTTCCGTTTAAAGAATTCATAAAGACAAATCTTGGACACAGAGGGTAAAGTCTTAAAAATTCAAAATGTAAATATCGAAGCTTCCATTTGACTGATGTATCACTATTTACGTGAGACAGACGCTAATAATTTACAGCAAACAACTTTATATAAGAGCACCGAACAATCAGCCAAATGTCACAGTACTCAAACTTACGCAAGCCCGTTGTTTGTATCCTAGAGGCGGTATTGACAGTGTCTCCAAATAAACAGTAACGAGGCATTTTGTTTCCCACAACTCCAGCCGCGCAGGGGCCTGGAACGGAAAACAATCATGGTGATCAATTCGGAAACCTTATACCACGTGCACGCCAGGGCTTAAAATGTTAAAAAGCTTTTTGATGAAAGCACATGTAAATTTTTATTTCTGATGACACGACAGGGAGGGGGAAATTATTTCCTTCTTCGTAAAAACGAGATTTAACCAGGATCCCATGACCCTGGTTTGACTACATTTATAAATTTTTCCTAAATAAGCGATTGAGTTAGTGAAATATTCATGCTCTATTCCAAGCTAATATTTCTCCTAATTTTCATACCTTATTGAAACAGCAATAGATTTAACTGCTGCTACATGCAATTTATACCGTGGATCAGAAAAGCCATTTTAAAACACTATTTCTTATAAGTGCGGAATTATTTGTCAAACTTTGCAATGGTCATTTGACTGTTTAGTTAAGTTTAGGTTACGACAAAGTCCGAAGAAGCCAACGGAGAGTAGAAGCGCCACGTGACCCGTATCTCTGGCGCAGGTAGCTACTTAGCCTTTCTCCCCTCAGGGAGTATATTGTTGAATTGTTATAACTCTTCGCTGGCACTCACGTGTGCTACTACGGGGTGCAGCAGGGGGGAGGGTTCTATAATAGTTAATTGTCTTATCCAAGGGCACAACAAGGGCAGCCCAAGCTAACGATAGGCCACTATACTCCTTGGATAGCCTTACCCACCTGTATGGATCCCGATTCTAACGCAAAGATCCCGTTCACCGTCGGAGCCAAAACGAAGGCTCTCCATGAGCTCCACTAAATGTAGCGCCATCAGAGCGATCTCCGTAACGTGACGGTGCCCATTTTTCTCTGGAAGGCCTGATACCACCATGTAAGCATCACCAATCGTCTCCACTTTGTAAACGTCGTATTTGTCGATGTGGTTGTCAAAGATACCGTAGAGACGGTTCAACATTTGTGTGACCTCCATGGGAGAAATGTTGGCACATATTTGCGTGAAGTCGACGATATCACTAAAGAAGACTGTCACGCTTTCAAACTGCTCTGCTGTCACGCTTTGGCCGCCCTTTAATTGCTCTGCTACCAGGTACGGCAGCATTTGGTAGAGAAGAGAGTCCGCCCTTTGCTTTTCTTCCATCAGCAGTTTCGTAGTTTGATGGAGTTTGGCCGCAGAGCGCTGGATGGCGTAGATGACGTATATAAAAAAGGCCATGAGTAATACAATAAAACCAAATATGGCGAGCTTTAGAACCCAGTCATTTTCGGTCGCGGTGACTTCATTATCCAATCTCTCTAGGATCAGCGCTCCGGTTTCTCGCTGGACTTGGAGTAGTGCATCTATGTAATCTGTCATAAGCTGGAACCATTCCCTACCTAATTCCACTGACGCGTTTTGTTTTTTGTTGCTCAAGATTATTTTCCTTTTTTGCTCCACTTCAACTAGTACCGAACCATTGTGTGCTTTCACAGCTCTTGTGTAAAAATCCTTAATTTCCGGCATTAACTCCATGCTAGCGTTTAGGTTTTCCTTGGCGAGCACGTTATTCTCCGCGAACCAAAGCAGATCGCCTGTTTCAAGGAATCTTCCTCGACTGAAAAACGAACCTCCCAGTGCACGTTCGACTCCTGTCTTCTCTTTTCCAATCAAGAGCATTTTGTAACCGATAAATTCTGACAAGACGTCATAGTTGATTTTCTGAACGTTTCGGAATAACCATTCAAACAGGTTTGAAATAATCTGCGAGTAAAATGTGATCTCATCTTGGATAGTACTGTTGACGACACTACAAAAATTACGGTGGTTATTGACCATCACCATGAACGTTTCCAGGCTGCTAAAGTTATATCGATCCTGGTCAGTTTCAGGCCAACTGTCAAGGTTTTTGGCGAACTCGTCTGTGTTATTACCCGCTTGTAACACCTTCTCCCACCCACCGTGTTCTCTGCCAGAACTCACGTACAAAACCCTCGTACCTCGTTCGATTTGTAACATGTGAACAAGACCAGCGATCTCGATGCTTAGTTTCACACTAGTTTGTAGTGTTTTTGTTTTAAAGGCGTTTTCGTTCGCTTCCAGTACGTCTAAAATTGTCAGAACTGTTAAACCAGTGAAGGCGACCAAGCACATGGCTGTCACCAGTATTAACCGAAGTCGCCTTCTTCCCCGAGCAATCGTTGTAGGTGTTGATGGCGGACCGGCGCTTGAATCTGTTGGGGTTACCCTATTTGTCATCATAGTAAAAGACATTTACAATCTGTCGGAGAAAAAAAGTCAGAATGGACATTAAACAGCCCAGTTAATACTGGCCGAAACATGTTTTACCAGACTCACTTGCTAGCAATCACAAAGCAAAAGACGCGATTACAAAAATCTGGCAGTACCTGAATACCAAATGGCTCATCTAGACTTAAATAAATGCAACCAACAACTGATATTTCTAAGAAAAAAGCGCGAACTTCTTTAACTGTAAATTGTATATGTTCCTCAGTCACGTTGTCCTTTTCGCGTATATATTATTCTGAAAGGTGAAAACTTGTTTCTGAAAGGACCCGCTCTGGGATAATTGCATCTTCCACAAAAAGCTGACTTGAAATGCGTTTTGGCTTAAGAAATGGATAAGTGCTAAATCACGAATTTCGCTGTTGTCGTTAACGTAGAAAAGAATTATTTATGATAACGATTTTCAAGCCTTTGATTGACAAAGAGCCCATTTGATCAAAGAATTTCATGTCGGCTGCCTAGATCCTTTTAAACAACAGACATTCATCCTGCTGACTATAGAAAGTTCTCTTTGCTAATTTTTCATATTTTATTGCGAAACGCGACCAACTATACAAATAAACTGGATTAAAAAGGTTATACAGAGCATGCGCAGGATAGGATGCTTATCTTTGGGACCTACGAAGCACAAAATTACAAGCATGGAAGCAGATTACGGTTCACCATATTTAATTTTGAGAATTCAAAAGCTGTCATGCATGCAAATTGCCATTCTGACAAGATTTTGAATGTCTTAATCATGATTCTGTCTTTTTGGCTAATATTTCTTTTGTTAAACTACTTCTAGTGATTTTTTTTCTTTATGATAGTGAAATAATAAAGCACGTTTACGACAGGCTTTCCGCCATTCGTGTTGAAACATGATGCACATCAGCCAAGAAACTGCAGGTTTATACCTCAACAGCGGTGCTAAGGCACAGTTTTCCTAGTCGAGAAACGTGATTGTTAGAAACCACGTACAGTCAAAGATTAATCCGTTGGTACAATTTTTAAAGTAGGTTCAATTTCATAGGCGGAGTTTTCAAATGGGCTTTCGGTCGGAGATCTACAGAAAGCAGCCATTTGTGAATTAAATTTAGTCGAGAAACCAATTTGCTCTTTACTTTACAGAGTTTCATGGGAATAATCAATAATTCTGTTTCAACTGCAAATATTTAACGATTAACTAAAGACCTTCACAAAATTTTAAAGACGTTTACGTTGCTAATGGAGCCATCACAATTTGGTGTTAAAAATATTGCCTAACTGAAGGTAAAGGAAATGTTTTTTTCTTTAATAGGCTACTTTGCATATTGATATCCACCTGTTTTGCCTGTGTGATATATGACTTACTGTAGAGCAGGAAGGAGAAGCTGGAAGGCCAATTTATATTTGTCATATTATATTTTACATTNCATATAGCCTATATTGGAGTAGCCCCAGTCCATTTTTCTTTGAACAGATGGTATGCTGATTTAAACTTGCACGAGTTGAGCGGCAGCGCTTTCCAGTAGCCAGTAAGTTTCCATCGTACCTTTCCCCTGGAAAGACAAGAAAAAAGGAAATGGTAAAGTTCAACAACTTCAATATTACAATAGGGCTCTAGATCTGTACGACGTGGACGACATAACAAGCTGGAGAACAATCTGTCCCAGGTGCGACACAGCGAGGTCTCTTCTGTGCCCGCTGTCGCGTTGTTTCTAGCAATTTGAACTTTTTGTTTTGTTTCCTTTTGATTCTTCTTGTTTATATATGAGTAGCTCAAGTTTAATTCTTATCAGAACCCTGGGATCCACTGTAATTGGCTACGCTGTAGTGGTCTCCCTGCCTAATGAATTTTGTTGTACTTAAGGTAAGTATTTTAGTTAGGCGATCGCGAAGTTAAATAAATAAAAAAACGTTTACATCCACAGGGGATTTGTGGAAATAAATGATAGTATGTGATAAGTTGGTAGAGAAATGAGACGCTCTTGAGGTCGGCACACACCATGTAGTGGGAACAGTTTGTAAGGGCAGTGCACACGATGCGACATGGAAACTGACAGAGGTCATTTTGTCTATGTTGATCATGACACAAGAACTAAAACTGACCAGCTAATTGCTTGCCACAAAACTTTTAAGGTAAAAACGGGCATGTCTCTCAACGAAAACGTTCACTGCAACGTGTAACCGATCTATGTCCCTGTAACATGTTACCTGATGCGTGCTGGAGTTAGATAAATTACGCTCTAAAATTTGAGTATTATGCTTCTGAGCGTCACTCCTAAAATCATAGCATTATGCTCGAAATTATGCTCATGGCCTAGCATTATGCTCAAAGATGCTGGGTCGGTGAATTTTGCGCAAAAAAAAAAAAGAAAAGACAAAATAATGGCTAACATATTATTAAATGTCCTTCTTTTAAATAACAACTGAACAACGCCTTTCAAAAACGAATGCTCTCATACGAAGCAACAAGAGCTGTATGTCAGGAGGCTCTTCAGTTTGGTTCATGACAAGTGAAAACTGCCTGGGGAGCCAGGCATAAAGTAAGGTAGCCAGGCCTTCAAACAGAAAACCAGGCATTCAACAAAGCCAAATAAGTGCATAAAGCAGCCACAAAGCCCACAATTGACATTTTTTTAAACACATCATTTTGATGTTTTTATTACCAGGATAATTTTATCAACTTTTAGGCTCCTAAACATGACTATTATGCCGACATTATGCTCGATGCTCGCACCATAGTATTATGCTCGAAATTATGCCGGCTAATTTATCTAACCCAAGTTCGCGCAGAACTTTCATCAATCAGTGACACGAGCCAGTGGGTCGTTATAGCACGAGTTGAATCTACTTTGGTACGCTAGGGCTTATAAGAGCCATGCTGGAAAAGCATACCTTTACTTCGACAAGTCCTCTGTATTCCAGAGTGTATCCCCCAAGAAATGTCAGCATATCTTTTGTATCCTTGCTGACATGAATTCTCTGGGCTGTAATCAAAAATCCACAATTTTAGAGGTTTATAAGAAAGTAAAAACGAAGCTACCTAGCTATCGGTTAATTCAAACAGTCAACCATTTTAAAAACTGATATTATAGCTTCACACAATCGGAAAAATGATATTGCAAAGTTTGTCCCAGGAAATGAAAACGGCTCAACATTTATTTCAGACGATTCCTTCAAAAGTAGGAAGATTTACAGCTTTGTGCTGTGCTTGAAGGTAAACATAAAGTTTTGACAGGGGCGCTTATGAGTTTTGCTTAAAATGTAATCACTTTCCGTTTAAAGAATTCATAAAGACAAATCTTGGACACAGAGGGTAAAGTCTTAAAAATTCAAAATGTAAATATCGAAGCTTCCATTTGACTGATGTATCACTATTTACGTGAGACAGACGCTAATAATTTACAGCAAACAACTTTATATAAGAGCACCGAACAATCAGCCAAATGTCACAGTACTCAAACTTACGCAAGCCCGTTGTTTGTATCCTAGAGGCGGTATTGACAGTGTCTCCAAATAAACAGTAACGAGGCATTTTGTTTCCCACAACTCCAGCCGCGCAGGGGCCTGGAACGGAAAACAATCATGGTGATCAATTCGGAAACCTTATACCACGTGCACGCCAGGGCTTAAAATGTTAAAAAGCTTTTTGATGAAAGCACATGTAAATTTTTATTTCTGATGACACGACAGGGAGGGGGAAATTATTTCCTTCTTCGTAAAAACGAGATTTAACCAGGATCCCATGACCCTGGTTTGACTACATTTATAAATTTTTCCTAAATAAGCGATTGAGTTAGTGAAATATTCATGCTCTATTCCAAGCTAATATTTCTCCTAATTTTCATACCTTATTGAAACAGCAATAGATTTAACTGCTGCTACATGCAATTTATACCGTGGATCAGAAAAGCCATTTTAAAACACTATTTCTTATAAGTGCGGAATTATTTGTCAAACTTTGCAATGGTCATTTGACTGTTTAGTTAAGTTTAGGTTACGACAAAGTCCGAAGAAGCCAACGGAGAGTAGAAGCGCCACGTGACCCGTATCTCTGGCGCAGGTAGCTACTTAGCCTTTCTCCCCTCAGGGAGTATATTGTTGAATTGTTATAACTCTTCGCTGGCACTCACGTGTGCTACTACGGGGTGCAGCAGGGGGGAGGGTTCTATAATAGTTAATTGTCTTATCCAAGGGCACAACAAGGGCAGCCCAAGCTAACGATAGGCCACTATACTCCTTGGATAGCCTTACCCACCTGTATGGATCCCGATTCTAACGCAAAGATCCCGTTCACCGTCGGAGCCAAAACGAAGGCTCTCCATGAGCTCCACTAAATGTAGCGCCATCAGAGCGATCTCCGTAACGTGACGGTGCCCATTTTTCTCTGGAAGGCCTGATACCACCATGTAAGCATCACCAATCGTCTCCACTTTGTAAACGTCGTATTTGTCGATGTGGTTGTCAAAGATACCGTAGAGACGGTTCAACATTTGTGTGACCTCCATGGGAGAAATGTTGGCACATATTTGCGTGAAGTCGACGATATCACTAAAGAAGACTGTCACGCTTTCAAACTGCTCTGCTGTCACGCTTTGGCCGCCCTTTAATTGCTCTGCTACCAGGTACGGCAGCATTTGGTAGAGAAGAGAGTCCGCCCTTTGCTTTTCTTCCATCAGCAGTTTCGTAGTTTGATGGAGTTTGGCCGCAGAGCGCTGGATGGCGTAGATGACGTATATAAAAAAGGCCATGAGTAATACAATAAAACCAAATATGGCGAGCTTTAGAACCCAGTCATTTTCGGTCGCGGTGACTTCATTATCCAATCTCTCTAGGATCAGCGCTCCGGTTTCTCGCTGGACTTGGAGTAGTGCATCTATGTAATCTGTCATAAGCTGGAACCATTCCCTACCTAATTCCACTGACGCGTTTTGTTTTTTGTTGCTCAAGATTATTTTCCTTTTTTGCTCCACTTCAACTAGTACCGAACCATTGTGTGCTTTCACAGCTCTTGTGTAAAAATCCTTAATTTCCGGCATTAACTCCATGCTAGCGTTTAGGTTTTCCTTGGCGAGCACGTTATTCTCCGCGAACCAAAGCAGATCGCCTGTTTCAAGGAATCTTCCTCGACTGA